GAATAATCAATTGATTAGAACTTTTGTGATTCTGGAGAGGTTTGGATGATGTAGGTTTAGAGCATAATTATAGTTTATCTTAGATTATCTTTAGTCCCTTTAATAGTTATTTGTCTTAGTGTTCTATTTTCTGTACTAAGGGAATTTAAAGGACTTCTCAACAAAGTTATTGATTTGCAATATGCAGAAAAATTAACTTTGGATATTGAAACCACATAATTAATACCAGATGATGTAGAATTGACTCCATTGTTTTTTCAGGTTCAAGATATAATCAGGAATAGGCTTTGTCTTATATATATATAGCACACATTAGATCCCATATGGGTCTGTCAGGTCCTCTAGCATAAGGAAATGTAGAAACTAAATAATTATTGTTTGGAAATGTGATGATGACATCAGAATTCATAAAAATATCATGTCAATAGCAGGATTGAAAAAGTTCTTTTCCAGGAGCTGGAGAGATGGCTCAGAGGTTAAGAGCATTGCCTGCTCTTCCAAAGGTCGTGATTTCAATTCCCAGCAACCACATGGTGGCTCACAACCATCTGGAATGAGGTCTGGTGCCCTCTTCTGGCCTGCCGGCATACACACAGACAGAACATTGTATACATAATAAATAAATAAATATTAAAAAAAAGAAAAAGTTCTTTTCTATTGCGTGGGAACAAGCTGTATAACAAACACCACTGTGTTTGAGAACTAACAGATGTCATGACTTTGTCTTTTTCTACTTCCCATGTATATTAGATTCATGTATGCCTCTTTAGGGTCCTCATGTTGTCTAGGTTCTCTGGAATTGTGAATTTTAGGCTGGTGTTTCTTCGCTTTATGTCTAAATGTTACTTATGAGTGAATACATACAATATTTCTTTCTGGGTCTGGGTTACCTCAATCAATATAGTGTGTTCTAGATCCATCCATTTGCCTGCAAATTTCAAGATGTCATTATTTTACTGTGAAGTACTCAGTTATGTAAATGTAGCCCCCTTTCCTTGTTCATTCTTGGGTCAAGGGACATATAAGTATTTTTCACTACCTGCTGCCTTGTGATTTGGATGTAGCGCTCTCAGCTCTTTCTTTAGTACCAAGTCTGCGTGCACACCACCATGCTACCTATTGAAGTGAGAAACCACAAAAGTGTATTTAACAATTTATTCAGGGTTCAAAGGAAAAATAAACTCAGAAATAGAGAACTAGGTAGATGCCACTGTTCTAGATGCTCCTGTCCTGTAATTCTCCCAAGAGCTATGATGACCAACAGCCAGGATTGCACCAGTTCTGACTAACAAAGAGAGAACATAAACTTCTACTCCCTTTTTTTGGTCATATTTACAGAGAAAAACATACCCATGGTAAGTCATGCCCAATTGTCATAGACTATCTAAAATATATCTCAGCTTGACCTTGAAAATATACCTAATATAACTACAAGATGGATTATAATTGATGACTACTAATTTATATTTCATGATATTCTAATTAGTTGATATAATAACTTTAAAGGCCTACACATTTGCATTGAATTGTTATATAAGGTATATAGGTACAATACTTTGATTGAGATTAAAAACAAATATATGTATATATATATATATAATTTTCTAACAAAACAACTGTAAATTTGTATCAATTTACAAAAATCTATATCAATATAAACTGAGATTACCCAAGCACCTCCCAAAAATAGACCATCCAAAGGAAATGCTTAACATTCCAACCATTTTAGATAGGATCACCTGCCAGCACACACTCACCAGGACACCCCTAGGCAAATGTCAACCAATCAGGGGTCCTGAACTTTAGAAACCCCTCACCCCCACCTTGACTACTATCAAAACCAAACTCTAACTCAGTTCAGAGATCTCCAGTTATTCCAATACACAGGACATGCAGAGAGACCGAGTTTGCAAACTTGCATAAAATAAAGGCTCTTTGCTTTTATGTATAGGACGTGATCTCCTTGTTGGCTTTTTGGAGACTTTGCAGATTTGGGTATAACATATTTATGTATTTCAGCATACATATTTACCCACACTTAACAAGGATGAGGTTGGCAGGGAATTGTGGCAGGGATGGAATAAAGAAATAAAAAAAATGATGTATTTTCTTTTGATTAACAAATTTTAAAGATTAATTTTAAATTAAAAAGAGGGGCTAGATAGATGGCTCATCACTGGGTGTTTTCACAGAGGACCCTGATTCCATTCCTGGACCCTGCATGCTAGCACACCATTTGTTCTGATTCAAGTCCCTTCTTCTGCCCTCTGTAGGTACTGTGCATAGGCACATGCAAGCAAAACACTGTATAACTAAAGATTTCTTTAAGGTTAGAGAAAAGAAAAAATGAAATTCTCTACAGTGATGTCCTGACCCTGAGACAGACAGCAAGCCAGGTCTAGTTAAAATGGACTCCTTCTTACCTTGCATGGAAGCAGCTGTGGCCTTCTGTCTTGCCACCCTGCTCAGAGCAAAACCAGCTTTGCTCTGAGAGTAACAGAGATCATCATAACCGTTCATCCAGGAGCACTGTATAGAGGGCTTTTAGGTGACTTTTCCTTGAAGTTTTCTGGTTTTGTGTTCTCTATCTTTTGTGTCTGTGAGATATACGGTGTTGGTACAGTTATCTTTTAGATTGATCATCAAGATTGACAATCTACTTTTCACAATGTCATCTACTTGATTTTCAACTAAGACCTTATGGTAAAATATAAACATGCCAGAGTCAGTTCTTTCCATCATTTGTCTAATTTACGTATGTTCCTACAAGACTTCGTGGTAAGATTTCCTAAATATCTGTTTTTACATTGGAATCATGTTCACTAGTGGATTTGTTAATTTAGCATGCTTAAGAAAAGGGAGAACATATCATGAGTGTGTTCAGACATCCTAAGGAAAATCCCCATTCTTCCTTTGTTGAGGAAAAACACTGTTTTGAAAATAACTCCCTTGCACTTTGTGCCTCCAGCAAGAATAATTTTGTTTTCATTTCTTTTGTCTTGGCTGTAGAAATGGCTATTTTTGGTGGTCAAACTGACTACCTCTGGAATTAATCAATACACAAAGAATTAATTATACCTGAGGGAGATTTTACTTAAAGATTTTGGAATGGGAAAATCCTCCACTAATCTGGATAGCTTGAAATAATAGGACCCACCTTTAGCTGCTTGGTGGGCATGCACACCTTTAACACCTTGACACAGGAGCAAGAGGTGTGGGACCCTCACCCCTTATTATCAAAGGGAAGAGAAGAAATTTCCTAGCAGAATGTTTTCTCAGGAAGATAGTGGAATTCCCCTCTCCCACCTGCAAGATTCCAAGCAGAAGGTCACCTAGGTCAGCCCAGCCAGCCACCTGGTACAGGCTGTTAAAGATGGCCTAACTCAAGGACAGTGGCCTTGCTCTAAGAACAAGGAGTAAGCTGACTTTACAGAATGGGAGGGAGCAAAAGTCCTTGTACCCTTGCCAAGGCAACATCAAAGATTCTCTTTGTAGTTAAGGCTTTAAAAGCTTACCCCACAGAGGAGATACAACTCCTCTCTACCTTGCTGTAATGGGGGTGGAGATGAGTTCCAAACATGTTTGCATTATGCTGATTAAACCTTGCTTATTACAGTCTGGACCTATCTGGTGGTCTCTCTCTGGTGGTCATAATCTGGGCACAACAAGAGGCACTGGGATTTTCTGAGTTTGAGACCAGTCTGGCCTACCGAATGAGTTCCACACCTACACAGAAAAATCCTGTCTTGAAATCACAAAAGCAAGAAAATCTGAATCAAACAAGATTATGATCTAATTTTAACCTTCTCACCTTCTGGTAGCAGCAATTGCATATAAAGTACATTGAAGTAGAAAAGTCTCTTTTTTATCAACTTGCTCTGGCTACCAAGCTCATTCCTTTACTAGTACTAGAGACTACTTCTTTGAAATTTCGGTGAATACTTAAAATCAGTTGAGACATCAAGCCTCATGGGCTGAACAACTACTGGATTCTTCACTTGATCTTTGGGAAAAGGCTGAGAAGCAATCTACGGAATTCTTTAATTGTCATTTTTAAGTAGCTATTTTTAGACAACCTGAAACACAGCTTGTGAAACATTATACTAAGCCCACTTTTTACATACATGTTGAGATTCATTCTACCAATCCTGTTCATGTAGAGAATCTTGAATACTGCAGTTCCTTCTAGCGCCATTATTCTCTACATATTCCCATTTCCATGAACACTACTCTTTTTATTATTATTCATTTTCCTGAAGTTTGCTTCAAATTCCAGTAATAAAACCCATAAAGCAATGGAGCCATCATCCAGCCTTCTGATGGGGGAAAGATCAGTCATCTTGTTTGAGATCTGGTTCCTCCTTTTCTCTTTTCCGTTGTGTGAATCCCTGTGAAAACCATGTAAAAAGTATCTTCAGTTCATCTGACCTCAGCATGAAGCCACAGAACTAACATCTCCTTTTGTGACCTTAAAACTCTCTTTAGCTGTTAATGTTCTGGGCATCTTTCCCCTGTGGGACAGGGAATCCCTACACCCACCTAGCACAGCACAGTGCACTGTACAAGCTAACTGGCCAGGTCGTATTCTGGAGGTAAAAGGGAAAGTTCCTGTGGAGTGCAAGATTATGATGGTGTCGGCTTTTATAACCGGGGCAAGTGCTATTGAAATGCATATGCACTGTACAAGCTAACTGGCCAGGTCGTATTCTGGAGGTAAAAGGGAAAGTTCCTGTGGAGTGCAAGATTATGATGGTGTCGGCTTCCATAGCCAGGGCAAGTGCTATTGAAATGCATATCTCGGCCAATCAAGAAAAGATCTTTGACTCAGGTGGCTGGAGAGGCCCAAAGTCTCTGTGCTGTCTTGTGAAGCGCACTTCAGTCCTGTGGGAGGTGTTCTTGTCACTCAGGCCTCCCTCACTAGCCAATCAGGCCCTCCAGGTGACCTGCCAGTCAGATGTTGTGCAGGGCTCTTCCGGGCACCGCATTCAGTCTCGATTTTGCAGAGGAGCTGGCGCCATTTGTTTTCTGTGTTCCGGTGAAGTTACTGCTGCAGGAAGTTGATAAACTGAGAGCTTTGGCGAGCTGAGAAACCACAACATGGTGAGCAGGGGAACGCTGTCTCCAGATGGGGAGGAGCAGAGGGTGAGGTGCGGGAGACAGCATGGTGCATCCTCCCAGGATACGCGTGGGAACCTGCCGCCAGATTCTCTGCATTGTGAAGTCCCACGTGGTCCTGTTAATTCCTAGACCTAGGGACAGACCTCTGAATAACTTTACGCTTTGGGTTTAATCCGCTTAAAGAATTGGGAGCAGGGTGCTGTGTGTACAAACATCTTGTCAACTTCAATATGCCAAAGTCAGTGAAGCCTAGGTTCTTCAGAATCTTCTCGATATTGCGCACTTTGCATTTAACTTTACATACAATCTCCATTTAAGTTTAACTATGTGGATGGTATCAAGGCATCTCACCAGTTGGGTAGCGCAGCACTTTTAGCTGCAACGTAGAAGAGGAGAATTGGTGATATAAAGGATTTGCCAATGCCTTGGAAATAGTTCAGTCTCACAAAGTAGAATTAGCTGAGGGAGGACTGCCTCTTAATAACCCAAAAGATAAATGTGTTTTATTCAGGGCTGTTAGAGTTTAGGATGCTAGGGTACACTTTGCTCAACTGGGTTGTCCAGATATTTGGCTCCAAACTATTACAAAGAATCCACTGTTGATTCCAGATATCAAAGAACAACCTTTATCAAGCCTTTCAAGGAGGCATTACAGTTTGCCACTGTCAGTGTGTGAAGTGATTTCTCAATGAAAGTTATATTAATTCTAGAACAGCTGCATTTCCACCCTGTTAGAAAAATAGTTTCTGAAACAAGTTCTCTTATGTTGATGCAGGTGGCCTTGGTCTGCTGCTGTCCAGGGCAATGACCTTGCTGTCCTGTACACTAGACTTTCAAAACTCCTTTAAAAATGATTGCACCACCTCACAGTTTTAAAATTATAAATGAGAGTCATGTAGTTGACTATGCATTGCAGTTGCAGGGAAAGGATTTGCATGTGGAGCATTCCTTCTGTCCTCAGACTACAGTAGGAGGAAGAGTTTATTGAAGCTGGTGGAGACACAGTGCAGAAAAGGAGAGGCTGGACTGAGGGTGAAAACTTTCCTCCTTCATAAGTAGTTGAGGTTAGCTATGTGAAATCAGGTAGTCAACTGTAGATGCTCTATGAATGTCCTGATTGACCATTGTTTGCAGTCCACAGACCAGTGCCAAAAGGAAACTGGGAAAGGGAGTGACCTTATCTTTAAACCTAATTGCTATACTTACAGTAGTTCATCTACAATAGAAGATCTGGGCAAAATGTTGTGGCTCTACTTAACAGGACTTTTCTCTATTAAGACATTGATCTTTAGAGAAAATACATGAAAAATTTTTACTGTGCTCTAATACAAATCCCTAGTCTCTGCAGTATATGACCATAAAGTCTGTCCCAAGATTTCAAAATAGTTTTTGAGATGACAACTACATCATATTTACATTCTCCTTGCTGCCTCCAAGCCCTAAGATCCCTGGATTGTTTTTTAATTCCTGGTCTGTTCTATTTTAACAACAGTTATAGAGTAACCACAGTTACACTCTAACAGTAGTTACGTTATGAATGTGACCTGTTTGTCTGTAGGATTTTCCATCTCTGAGCCAATGGGATGCTGAACTGGAAAGTGGATATGTAATGGAATGTGCACACAAAGGACCCTGTGCTCTAGATGAGAAAGAGGATGTGCTCTAGTAGAGTGGAAAAATGTGTACTTAATACAAACTGTCTAAACTGGGGCCCTGTCTGCTGGGCTGGGAGGGCAGAACTGGATGGAAGGATTGTGCTGTCTGAGTCATTTGATCTCTGATCCTCCTGTAGAGGAGCTGCTAATAGTGAGAGGCTAGGCTAGGTGGCCCTATCCAGTGAGGAATTCTGAGCAGGGTTAGACATCAAGAGTACTAGTGGGCAGACAGTTTGTCAGTTCTTTCCATGATTCTCTTCTGTCTCTGCTGTAGGGAGTGGTAAGGAAGACCATAAGCAATCCTGTCATGAGTGGGGCATGTTCAGAGCAGTTCTGTTGAAATGTCATTTCTGCTGAGACTGGGAAGTACCATGAGCTAGACTGCAGTTATGTTGGTCCATGTGGTTCATGTAGGCAGTGGTGCTTGTTCTCTGAGCCTCTTTGTGTATAGAAATACTGCAGCCCTGGAATGGAAGGAAATGATGCTGGTTGTATCTCTGTCCAGAGTACACACATGGGCACTGCTTTTGCTGTGCAGTGGGAAGAGAGATTAGAAAACTGAAGGTTTAGTTTCTAGAAGTTCTGAATATTGCATTCCAGTTTCAGGTTTGTGTTATAAAGATTACAAATTGTTTAGGACCTGGTAGAGCAATAGTAGAGTAGAGTGCTTTTAACATGGTGTTACCACTAGCTGCAATGGTGGGATCCAGTGAAGCTTAGTTCCAGGGGACAAAAGGAGTTTCTGATGTGCAGAGATTTCTCAGGTGTGCAGTGTGGTAGACAGGTAGATAGGGCACAATCCACATATTCTGCTCTATGCCATGTAGCAGAAAGCAGATTTTAAACAATTTTTAGGTTGTTTTGGGATTGAAAAGATTAATTAGATTAACACTTCATCAGGCATCTTAAAATATATGCTCAGTTAGCAGAAAGGAGGAATTAAGGCCATAAAGATAGGTTACAGAATAGATTATTAATTTTTACAGTTTTAAATGCTAGTAAAAAGGAAACAACAGCTGTGGGGAGACATTAGATAATAAAAAAGCCCTGCTAAATTAAACCAACCTGTATGGTTTAAAGATACATTGCATTCAGAATAAAAACCAAGATATGTATTAAATTGGGGAATAAAGTTATAGATACCACTTCAATCCTTAAAGATTAGCTTCAAACAAAAAGATCTCTTGAGACTGCTCTTCGGGCTGATGATGGAGGGGGAGTTGACTGGGGGAAGGGGGAGGGAAATGGGAGGTGGTGGCAGGGAGGAGACAGAAATCTTTAATAATTAAGTAAATAAATAAATAAATAAAAAATCCCTTGAGTAAAAGAAACAGTAGTTCATCAGAGAGCATTACCATTCAATCTTAACTAATTCGTAAGATTAACAGATGTCTTCCTTTTGATTAAATATAATTTCCAACAATAAATCTTCATAAAGGTAGGGTTCCGGCAGAGTTTTGTTTTGTCTTTACAAAAGTATGAAAACATTGAACTAAGGAATCTAAAAACCACTAGACAACCGAGGTATCTAAAAAATAACACATCATCCAAATAAAATATCCTCTTCAAAAGAATAAATTGGCCTAACAGTCACTTATTATAATCATGTTAGGTGTGTTTTCAAGGTGAAACAAAAAGACATTTTGTTTCCTTTTTTTTTTTTAAAGACACATTCCTCTGGCTTTCCTGGAATTCACTTTGTAGAACAGGCTGGCCTCTAACTTAGTGAGATATATCTGCCTCTGCTGTGAAAGTGCTGGAATTAAAGGCATGCACCACTATAGCCTGACAAAAATTTATTTTACAAACACAGGTGGTGTTGTTTCTTCATTTTAAATGTTGTTTGCTTTATACTTCCTGTTTACTCAGGGAATATTATATCCCTCTGAGTTCTCTGATGGAGCTAAAAGCTCAATAATTGTAATTATGCATGTTAACAAATTGAAAAAAAAGAATTAAAAAATGTATAATGCATATAAGGCTAAGAGGCAGAAACATTATTTAAGGTTAGTAATACCAGTTAGGATAAAAAGTACTTTAGGATAGGATAGATGATCAAACATTTTCTCTAAATTTACCAAATGCAAATGGATTGGACATTGTTAGTATAATTCTCCCCTTTATATCTTATATATAGTTAATGTATTTAGTGTATATAGCTTTACTGTGTTAGTTAAAACCTTCATTTTTAATTAGACAAATAGGGAAATGCGTGATATTTTGATTATATTCTGATAATAAAGCTTGCTTAGCATTACAGCAGAGCTAATCACTACCTGACCAAAATTTACCATAGAGGTTTGGAGGACTCTGGACAGATAGGAGTCAGGATTCCTAAGGCAGGCCTAAGAGAATATTAGCACTTTACTAACATGGAGAGACTGAAGAGGTGGTAGTCACAAGTTGCTGGTTAACTGCTTCTCTGATCTTTCAGTTTCTTACCCTGCTCTCTGACTCCTGATTTCTTATTGTTAAATGTCAATTAGACTAATGCTTCAGCAGGTACAGAACTTTCTAAACCCTTCGGAAATAAAGCCCATATACCTGAGATAGAGCCACAAGATTTGTCATTTGCCCTGCTAAGTTTTCATCTTTCCTTGACCCAATCTTCCCTCAGTTTTCCTCATTCCTCTCTTTCATTTGTCTTTTATTTATTCTTCTTTCATCTTGATTGCAGTGTTTCCTCCCACCATTGCTCTCTGTCCCAACCTTCCCCCAAATCTCTCTTCTTTGTTTAACTTTAGAGAAGAGCAGGTCTCTCATACATATCAACCGAATGTGGTGTCTTAATTAGGGTTTCTGTTGTGATGAAACACGATGACCAAAATGCAAGATTGGGAGAAAAGAGATAATTTGGCTTATACTGCCATATTGTTGTTCACTATTAAAGGATGTCATGGTAGGAACTTAAAGAGGGCAGGACCCTGAATAGATTTTTGTATGTTGAACCATCCTTGCATCTGTGAGATGAAGGATGACTTCATCATGGTAGACGATTTTTTTGATGTGTCCTTGGATTTGATTTGCTAGTATTTTATTGAGTAGTTTTGCATGTATGTTCATCAGTGAGATGGGTCTGGAATTCTCCTTGTTTGAATCTTTGTGTGGTTTGGTATAAGGGTAACTGTAGCTTCATAAAAAGGGTTTGGCAATCTTATTTCTGTTTCTATTATGTGGAACCCTTTGAGGAGTATAGTTATTACTTCTTGGTTCTGACAGAATTCTGAACTGAAACTGTCTTTCCATGGGCTCTTTTTGGTTGGAAGGCTTTTGATTACTTCTTCTCTTTCCTTGCAGGTTATAAGCTCACTTGAATTGTTCATCTGG